GGTACATACTATGTGATTCCATTTCCATGAACTGCTAGAACAGGTGAAACTAAGCTATGGTGACAGAAATCAGATCAATGGTCACCTGGGGTGGGGCAGGAGGAAACTTTCTGGGGTACTGGGAATGTTCTTTATTTTGACTGGAGCTGTGGTTCCGTGGGGACATATGTTTGTCAAAACATTTCAGACTGTACATGGGTGCATTTTATCTCATGTAATTTGTATCTCAACACACAGAAAGCGTACAAAAAGAAAACACGGTGACAGACCCAAGTGGCAGAGAGGGCCCAGGGAGAGGGCAAGGACAACCCTGTGAGTGCCCCTGCTTGAGGTGGCTGGGCACCCGGGTCCACTGTCATCCTCCCACAGGCTCCCTGGGGACCAGCCCCAGCCCAGCACCTGTCACACAGGATGGGACCAGGAACAGAGGAGGGTGGCTCTATTCCTTTCATGTTCCTCGTGTAAGGCATATTTTATTACTGGGGTTATAAGGAACTCCTTCCTATTGGGCTTCCTTTTATTGGTTGTTGTTCCACCTTTGGCCATTAGGTGGGCTCCTGTCTAGCTAACACACTCCTTCCTTCCTTCTGCCCTTTCCCCTCCTATTTCCTTCTTTTTTGACCCTATGCTTCAGATTCCCTTTGTATTCTCCCCATTCCAGCCCTAGAATTAGCCAATTCTCCAAGACACTCTGGTGCTTCTTATTGAAGAATGGTGTTTAGAAACCAGAATCTCTCCTGGCACTTTTAATTTGCATTTTTCTAGTTATGAGTGGCACAAGCACTTAAAAAAAAATATGTCAGAGCCATTTGCATTTACTTTTCTGAGAATAGACTTTTCACATCCTTTATTTTTTCCGATTAATTTTTGTTTTTTTAAAAATTGATACATAAAAACACATATACAGGAAATGGGTCCTTTTCCTGAAATGTTGTATTTTTTCCCGATATGTCATTTGTCTTTCACTTTGTGTCTGTACCATACAGATTTTTTCTTTTAGAATTTGTTGTTTTCCTCTTTTAATCTATAAATGTTGTAAATGACAGTAGCAGTTTTCCTCATTCTCACCATCCTCACATTTGTGGGATGTGCCTTTCTTGCTCAGGGTGTCTGCTCTTTTGCTAAACCTCTGAATTTCTATCGATAGTATTTTACTTGGGTTTTTGCTGTTTCACAGATAGAATGTGCTTGCAGTCTTTAATTTTACATTTAGCCCTTGCTGGTGTGGCTCAGTAGATTGAGCACTGGCCTGCGAACCAAAGGGTCACAGGTTTGATTCCCAGTCAGGGCACATGCCTGGGTTGCGGGCCAGGTCCCCAGTTGAGGGTGCAAGAGAGGCAACCACACATTGATATTTCTCTCCCTTTCTTTCTCCCTCCCTTCCCCTCTCTCTAAAACTAACTAAATAAAATCTTTAAAGTGCTCTTCATTGGGAGGAGCTATTTTAAAAAATAAAATAAATAATTTTACTACTTACGTCTTCAAGTCTTTCTTGTTTCCTAATGAAGGCACTTAAAGCTGTAAATTTTTCTCTGAGGACCACTTTGGATGCATCCCCAAAATATTGCTCTAATTTTTATTCATTTCTAATTAGTTTGTAGTTTCAGTTTTAATTTCCTCTTTAATCCATGAATAATTTAAAAGGGCATGTAAATATTTAATTAGATAAATTCTTGCCTATAATTTTGTGGTTAGAAATAATAAAAAAATTATTATTTTTTATAATAAAATTAAATAAATAAAATATAATAAATAAAAATTTTATTATTTCTAACCACAAAAACCAAGAAATGCATGCAAAATTTCTAATTTTATTATTTATTTTGTTCAGAGAATAGTTCTCTATGTTCTGCTTTTTGGAATCTTTGAGATTTTCTTTGTGTTCTAATGGTTGATATATTCATCTATGTATCATATGTGTCATTAATTATGTAATTTTAACCCTCTGTATACTTATACTTTTTTACTTGATGTCTTGACTTACTAAAACAGGTGTACAGGGCAGGGCAAAAGTAGGTTTACAGTTGTGAGTAGGGGAAACACAGAGTTTATGCTTGTGTTACTTGTTAGTGTATTATTTCCCATCAGAACAACTGTAAACCTGCTTTCTCCCCACCGTGTATTAAAGCTACTCACTAAGGTTTCAGTTGTATTACCCTGTCCCTGCATTTCTAATAGTTGTTTTTTTTTTGAAGCTCTGGTGTTAGGTGAACAAAAGTTAACATATATTTTGTTCGGTAGAGTATAGCAATTAAGAGCATAAGCTCTGGGTTTAAAATGTAAACTTCTGCTATTTTAACTTCTGCTAATTTAACTTCTTGTTTTCAGTTTCCCCATCCACAAAACAAGGATAATGACATTACCTCAGCCATGATTACTGTTAAGGATTAAGTGAGCTAATATATAAATATTTTAGGACAATGCCTGGCACATAGTAAGTTTTTATTAACTTAATAAAACATCTCCCTATCTTTGAATTCTATTTAATGTTAATTTCACCACCCCTACTTTCTGTTTGTTAGCATTAATCTGGCCTATCTTGTCTACCCGTTTCTCATGTAGGCATTTAATGCTGTAATTATCTAAGTACAAGTTCAGTTTCACAAATTTGAGATGTTTTCATTTTTGTTCAAAATAGTTTCTCATTTCTTTTGAGACTTTGCCTTTGACCCACAGATTATTTGGCGGAGTGATGTTTAATTTCTAAACGTTTGGAGATTTTTCCATTATTTTTCTGTTACTAATTTTCAGTTTAATTCCGTTATGGTCAGAGAACATACTTTGTATGACTTAAATTCTTTCAGATTTACTGAGCTTTGTGTTGTGATTCAGGGTATGGTTTTTGGACCTTCTGGGTCTACCCTCCCTGTTTCTCTTAATTTCTTCTAAAAGTGTCTTCTTGTCTTTTGGATTTCCTGGACTTGATTTTCCAAGATCACTAATTGCCCATTCTATTATTCAACTTTTCTGTTAAATTTAAAAATCTTTGTCATAGTCTCCCCTGTTCCCCCCTTGTTAGATTATTGCCCATTTTTACAGTCTCTTTGGGTTTAAAGACACAGTATCCATCTTTCTTCGGAATATTCTAGTTAGCATTTTTTAGAATCTGCATTTTGACCAGATCCGTAGGTGATGACACCCCTTTCCCGGGCCATTCCCTCCCTGTGCCTGGCAGATACTCACCTCACGTAGTTGTGCTCTGAACAGGCTTCTGCTTGTAGTCTGTGGTGACCCTGTCCCTGTCCCAGTCCCCTTCTCGGCGTGACAGGTGGCTGCCTCGAGTCATGCTCAGCTCTAACCCGGCCCTGCTTCACGCCTGCTCCACCCAGGTGTGGGAACACTGCCCGCTTCAGATAGCCGTCCCCAGGGCTGGCGGGAGTGGCCACACAAAGTGGTTTAGCAAGGTCTGCCCTCTTCCAGTGGCTTCTGAGCTCAGTCACATTTACGTTTTTAGGTGAAATTTGCGGACAATGAAATGCACGGATCTTAAGTACACAGTTATCTGTTTGATGGATGTGTGCCCCTGTGTAACCAGTCCCCCCAATGATTGACAGATGCGTACCCCTGTGTAGCCAGTCCCTCCAGTGAAGGTATAAAACATCCCCACGCCCCCCCCCATGCTCCTTTGTAATCAACCCCTGTCCTCCACCTCCGCGTGTAACCACTGTTTTCATTTCTTTCACTACATTTCCCCCTGTGCTTGAACTTCACAGTAACGGGATCACATGGTGTAGCTTCCTTTTGGGTCTGATTTCTTTCACTCAGCACTCCGCGAGGTTCGTCATTACGAAGCTTTTATCACCATGCCCCGTCACGTATCAGCAGCTTGTTTTTATTGCTGAGCAGCGTTCCATTGTGTGAATGTAGCACACTGTGTCTCCTTCTAAACATTTGGGCTTTTTTTAGCTTTTTTGGCTGTTATGAACATTCTAGTACATCATTTCTCTTGGTTAAATACCTAGGAGGGGAATTCTGGGTCCGACGGCAGGATAGTATACATTTTTTAAAGTTTTTTTTGTTTTTTGTTTTTTCCTAGAATGTGAATCCTTGTAAGTGTTCCCTTTTGGTAGGGTTGCCTCACCCAGTATGGCCAGCAGGGGGTGGTGTGGGGGCTACAGGGATGGACTTGAATAGCAGAAGCACTGTGGGTGGGGCCAGAGGCAAGGCCCTGCCCCAAGTTCCCCATTTACTAGGGACCTGCTCGAGCCCCCATCTTCCCCACCCCAATGACAGGTGGCTGCCTCTTTCTCTGCGGCAGCCAAGTGCCATCTCCTCCCGGTGGAAGCAGACCCTGCCACTTTCTTGTGTTCAGGGATCCCCAGCAGAGGCCCAGGTCTTCACGCTGGCAGCCAAGGCCCCGCTGACCCTCCTCACCTGTCTCTCCCGTCATCCCCTGCTGGGCTCACCTCCCAGGCCCCCACATACGCGCGCACACACGGACCTGCCCCTCGCTCCTCACGCATCAGTTTGGGCCCTCACTTTCCTCTCATGAGGGTGACTCTTGTCCTGCCAGGGTGGCTGGACCGTCCAGTGCAAGTGGGGCCCTGACCGAGGCCTCCGTGTGGGAGCTGTGGCTCTGGGGTGCCTCTGGGGCTGGTTTAGGACTTATGTTCAGGTCTTGGCTGGACAGCGAAGCTGCAGGTCTGGGGCGCTTCAGTGAGGACCAAAACCGAACTGCAGAGTAAGCATCGGGCGCGCCAGCACCGCTATTTCTCTCATGGCGATTACCTGGATGCTTTAAGAATATACGTAAAATAAAAGTCAACACGATCACAATGTGTCCTGTCGCTTTTAGGTCTCCTTCTCCTCTGGCCCCTTTGGCTGGTCAGCGCCGACAGCCGGTGTCCCCCGGACTTCTGGTCCCCCAAACCCTCTGCGCCCTGTGCCTCTAGTGCCCAGAGAGGCCTGGCCCTGGCCTCACTCTCTGCACCAAAACTTTCGGGAACTTTCATCGAATGAACAAAAAATCCATTTCAAGACAATTCCTTTTCCGAGCAGAGGTGGTTATTTAAGTGGAAAGGATCATTGAGAGGACAAGGAAGACAGGGGAACTATGCTTTGTCGTAAAATACGCTGCCATTTCTGACAACAGGTGTCTCCTGCACGTCATTTCTTGCCTTTCTTCCCCTTCTCCCCCTTGTCCACCTTCTCCTTGGGCTTCGCTTCTTCCTTTGGCTTTGCCGGTTTTTCATCCTCCTTTTCCTTTGCAGGCGGCTCTGGCTTGCCCTTGTCCTTTTCAGGAGGAATCAGCACGTTCCTTTGGATCTTCTTGCCTCTGAAGTGTTTTCTTTGAAGACATATATCGATTAAAGGAAAAAATGCAGCCACACCGATAAGGACCTGGAAAACAAAAGGAGCCTTCTTATTTTTGCTTTCCAGTTTGAAGCTGTCCTATTTCCTTCCTGGTTTCTAATTCGTAAGTATGGGCGGTTCAACAGCGCTTGTCCACCTCAAACGGCCAGACCCCAGAGACTTAGTTCCCCTCCCCCTCTGCCCTGTCATTTCACTGCTGCTTTCTCTCTGGACACCTGGCCGGGGCGGGCCCTTTGCCTCTGGGTCAGCAGCTACGAGGAGGAAGCTACTAGTGTGGCTGGCTCCCTAGACTTCCTCTTTATTTAAATGGTTTCTCAGTTGGAAAAATGTATCAGCTTTCCTCTTAAACTTTGCTTGGGTCTCAAGATTCTGTGAAAAGGAAAGAAACCCTGCTCTTCAAATTGGGGAAACACCCATTCTCCAAAAGGGGTGATTTCTGAGCAAATCAACAGACAGCCCAACCAGAAAGACTCACCACAGCGATGACGTAGTTCACTGGCATGGTTTGTCGAGTTCGCAGAGCAAACGCCGCACCACCCGCCAGGAAGATGGCAGCAAACAGGTCGTTGAGAATGTCCTGAAACCGTGGGAGAGATGAGTGTCAGTCTGGAACAGAGCCCAGGCCCCGCTGACACCTGGCCTGGGAGAGCACATGGCTTCCTCCAAAGAGAATGATTTCCAGGCTTCTGCCTAATTTTAAATATATACACGTGTGTGTGTGTGTGTGTGTGTGTGTGTGTATGTGTGTAAATAGTCTGTCTGGAAAAAGTCCAGCCATTGTTAACATAACGAGAACAGTTTCCTGACATCGTTGTAACCTGGCAGCCAAGGAGAGTGGACTGGGTTGTGCATGCGAACAGTGAGGACTTCACAGTACCAGTCAGTGGGGGCGGTAGACTCTGGTGAGTGAGTGAGCATGTGTCCTGTGTGGCTGTCTCATTCAAAATGAGTTGGTGAGTAGAGAAATGTATCTGCATCAAAGTTTGCATTAAGCCTGAACATTCCTCCATGGAAACTGTTTGGATGATTCAGAAGCCTTTTGGGGATGATGCAATGAGTGCAGTGCAATAAATGTGTGGCACAAATGCTTCAAAGATGGTCGAGAATCTGTTGACAGCGATCCGCATTCTGGGAGGCCTGCAACAAGCAGAACACTGGGAATGTTGAACATGTATGGGCTGCAATCAGCAAAGGTCTGTGACCAACAGCGCAAGAACCAGAAGCTGAGCTGGGGGGTTTTAAAAACTACTGTGTCCGAGGTTTTGATGCAGGATCCTGGCATGCAAGGTGTGGCAAACTTTGTTTCAAGGCTTCTGCTACCAGAGTGGAAGGAACATCGTGCTGCAGTTGCTAATGACGTGATTCAAACTGCTACCAATGAACCAGATTTCCTCAAGAAGGTCATAGCCAGAGATGAATCGTGGGTCTATGGCTGTGATCCAGAAAGGAAGGCCCAGTCGTCCCAATGGAAGTCGTCTGGTTCTCCACACCTGAAGAAGGTGGGGCAAAGTCGCAGTAAGATCAAGACCATGTTAACTGTGTTTATTGGTTGGGAAGGTGTCGTCCATCACAAGTACGCCCCTCCAGGCCAAGCAATTAAAAGGAGTACTACCTCAATGTTCTTCGTCGGTTGAGAGATGCAATACGATGAAAATGGACGCAGCTATGGGCAACTGGTGATTGGCAGCTTCAGCACAACAATGTGCCTGCTTATGCACCATGTCTTATGCAGAGTTTTTTTGGTGAAACATCAAATCACCCAGGTGACTCAGCCCCCTACAGCCCAGATTTGGTGCCCTGTGACTCCTGGCTTTTCCCAAAACTAAAATCACCTTTGAAAGGGAAGAGATTTCAGGATTTCAGACCATCAGTGAGATTCAGGAAAATATGATGGCGCAGCTGATGGTGATTGGGAGAACTGTGTGAGGTCCCAAGGTGCCTACTTTGAAGGGGACTGAGGCATCTTGTCCCATGTACAATGTTTCTTGTATCTTGTATCTTCTTGAATAAATGTCTCTGTTTTTCATATTACATGGCTGGATACCTTCTGGACAGATATATCTATATCTAATCTGTATCTCTGTCATCTATATATTTATATCTATCTATCTATCTATCTATCTATCTCCACATATCTCTAATCTGGCTAGGTAGACATACCTGTGGCCCCTCAGCTGGGCTCTTTGAGTCAAGACCCAAAGCCCAGGGTGTTTAATGGCTTTTTCGGGCTCCCTCCACTACCATCTCATCCGTGAAAGCACACATTTAATGGCTAGTTATGTCGGCCCCCCTTCCCTGCCAGTACTCATTTAAATAAATGCAAAACCACTTAACATAGGATGTCCCTCTTGAGCACCGTCCCAATCACCTTCCTGCTCTCAGGACCAGCTGCCCGCTCTGGAGCTGGGCAGGCTGCATTGCTGGTGGGCGGCTCTGTCCGACTCTGGTGCTCTCACTGGGAGATTGGCAGCTGCCTTTTCGCCCCTTGCCCCTCCCACCCCCACCTTACTTCCCAGAGGCACCCCCGTTTGCAAGGCTGTACTACCTCCTCTATAATCAGACCTCTTTCCCATCCCTTGTGGCCTCAGTCTTGCCCTTGCCCCATACTTGTGTCCCTTTACCCTGCCGACAGGGTCCTGATGTTCCCGGGGTGGGCAAAAGGGCTGCCTTCCATGTTGGCCTCCTCTCAGGCACAGTGCACCGTTGCTCTCTGGCACAGCCACACTTGTCGGAGTTGGCCAAACCACAGCCACAGCCAGCTGCTTCCTCCCGCATCGCTCCTGGGGCGATGCTAGCCCTGCAGCAATGAATAGTCGATGCCCACGCTTTCCTTTGGTTTCTAGGATGTGATTTTCTGCAAATTGTCCTTCTCTGATCACTTTGTCTCAGGCCTTTTCTTTTCCCTTTCGATGTTTTGAACTTGAACGCATTTCAAACAAACAAAATAACAAAACATCACATTCCTACTCCCACTTCCACCAGCCATGAGTCACTGACATTAAACAGAGGTTAATGTCTTGCAGTGTTTGCTTCAGGTCTCTTTAAAAGCAATCAATCAATCAATCCATCAATCAAACAAACAAACTCACAAAATAGAAGTGACCCTTGGTGAAGTGAGCTGCAGTCCCACCATTCTGTCCCTCTGTCTGTCCCTGTGCCTGAGGCAAGCATGTACTGGAAGTTGATGGGTAGATTTTCCAAGTGTGTATTAGTATTTCCTTTAATATGCTGTAGTCATAGACAATATATAACTATTTTGTGTGTTTCAAATATTTTCATTTAAATAAAAGATATTATCTTCTAGCACTTGCTTTTTAAACCTTTTAAACCTGCTCAAAATTTTTGAGATTTACCCGTTTTGAGATATGCAGATTGAATCCACTGATTTTACCGGAGGCATCCTACTGTATGAATAAACCAAACTGGAAGCATCAGGTGGTTTCTACTTCTCATTAAAAAAAAATGTATTGTTTGACTTGAGAGCATGAGAGAGAAATGCCGATTTGTTGATGGGGATCGAACCCACAGCTTTGGTGTGTAGGGATGACACTCTAACCAACTGAGCTACCCGGCCAGGCCGTGTTTCCACCCTCTAGAAAGTCATTACAAACTCTGCTGCAGTGAGTGCTCTGGTCTGCGCCTCGACACACTTCTTCTCCTCGGCTCCGTGTTGCCGAGACCCCCTCTACCGTGCGGGTGCCAGTTTCCCGGCATTCCAACAACGTATAGGGCCGTCCGTTTGCCATGTCCTTGCCGACCCCCAGGATTACCAGGCTTATTTATTTTTGCCAGTTTCAAGAGTAAAAACACTACCTCGTTGTTGTTGGAAATTTTCAGGGCATCGGGTACTAGTGAAGCATTTTTAAAAACATCTTTTAGGCATTTGTGTTTCCTGCCTATTCATATCCCTTGTTCCCCTGTTCCGTCGGCGTGTGTAAACAATTTTGTTTATGATGTCTTCTGTTGTAAATTTTAAATTATAACAGGATGCACAGCTCCCCTCCTCCAAGAACATCTGGTAAATATTCCATACAACTGTTTTATAATACCACTTCTGTTATATACCAAGTTGCCGTATGGATGTAGGTCTGTTTCCGAGTTCTCTTTTCTATTCCAGTCTCAGTTCGCTCAGGCTGCCACACACTGGGTGGTTTAAACAATAGACACTTATTTTTTCATCGTTCTGGAGGCTAGAAGTTCATGATCAAGGTGCCAGAAAGTTTAATTTCTGGTGAGGCTCTTTCCCTTGTTTGCAGATGGCTGCCTCCTCTCTCTGTCCTCGCACGACCTTCCGATGGTGTGCCAGGTGGGGTGGGAGAGAGGGAGCGGGGAGAGAAAGAAGGAACTACAGCTTTGTCTTTTTTTTCATAGAAACACCAATCCAGTTGGATTGGGGCCCACCCTACGACCTCATTTAATCTTAATCACTACTCTATAAGTCCCATCTGCAATTGCAGCCACACAGGGGTTAGGATTTCAGCATCTGAAATTTGGGGGTACACAAGTATTCACTCCATAATAACCCCATTAGTCTTTTTGTCAGTCCTGAGCTAGTACCAAAGCTTTACAGCAGGGGCGTCAAACTCATTTTCACTGGGGGCCACATCAGCCTCGCAGTTGCCTTCAAAGGGCCGAATGTCGTTTTAGGGCTGTATAAATGCAACTGCTCCTTAACAGTTGACCGAGAGCTTGGCGCTGCCGCCCGGTAGAAACCAGGTGCCGGGCCAGATGAAACAAGGGGGAGGGCCGGATTCGTGTTTGCCACCTGTGCTTTATAGGAATTCAAATGTCGTGTGTGTTGAGTCTGTCCTTGTAATTCTTTTTATTCTTCCATAAGAATTTTTTTAAAAAATATATTTTATTGCTTATGTTATTACAGTTGTCCCATTGACTTCCTCCCTTTTATCCCCCTCTACTCTGCACCATCCCTCCCTGCAGCCTCCCTCCCCCTTAGTTCACGTCCATGGGCTGTGCAGTTAAGTCCTTTGGCTTCTCCCTTTCTCATACTGTTCTTAACCTCCCCCTGGCTGTTTCGTGCCTACCATTTATGCTTCTTATTCCCTGTACCTTTTCCCCCATTCTCTCCCATCCCCCTCCCTGCTGATAACCCTCCACATGATCTCCATTTCTGTGATTCTATTCCTGTTCTAGTTGTTTGCTTAGTTTTTTTTTTTTTTAGGTTCAATTGTTGATAGTTGTGAGTTTGTTGTCATTTTAATGTTCATATTTTTGATCATTTTCTTTTTCTTAGATAAGTCCCTTTAACATTTCATATAATAAGGGCTTGGTGATGATGAACTCCTTTAACTTTACCTTAACTGGGAAGCACTTTATCTGCCCTTGCATTCTAAAAGATAGCTTTGCTGGATAGAGTCATCTTGGAAATAGGTTCTTGCCTTTCATGACTTTTGAATACTTCTTTCCAGCCCCTTTTTGCCTGCAAGGTTTCTTTTGAGAAATTAGCTGACAGTCTTATGGGAACTCTTTTGTAGGTAACTGTCTCCTTTTCTCTTGCTGCTTTTAACCTTCTCTTCTGCCTTGGCTGGTGTAGCTCAGTGGATTGAGTGCCAGACTCGA